CTACCACTCTCTCTCTCTCTCTCTCTCTCTCTCTCTCTCTCTCTCTCTCTGTTATGCACACACACACACACACACACAGCAAAAAAAAAGGATCCCCGGTTGTTTGGCCACACACACCACGCTCAGATGGCTTCCAATAAAAGGCGGATGTATGAGCTAGCTACATAGCTGCTGCTGCTTTCGCAATTCACAAATCTCTGCTGCCACCATATCAAGCTGTCCAGCCCCAGCAGCCCTAGAAAACGCCACGCCACGCCACGCCTGCCGCCTGCCGCCTGCCGCCTTTCACTGTGTTTCCACTCATTCCCGTCAGGCATGAATAGCTGCAAGAACGGTCATCAAAAAGGTCTTGGTCATTATCTCATATCAATCCATGCCTATGCTTCTCCTCTCCTCTCCTCTCCTCTCCTCTCCTCTCCTCTCCTCTTCTCCTTCTTCCAAGTCAAAAACACTCTCGGCCATCTACCCGCTCGCATTGCTCGGCTGCAATGTATGCGTGTGACTGGGCGCCTTCACAATCACCCCATTCTCTTCTTGTCGACAGACCAACGCATTCTGCACCCACGGGTCCGCCAGAATCTCTTCCATGGTCGCCCGCTTCGCCGGATTCAGCTCCAACATCCGCCCAATCACGTGTCTCGTCTCCCGCGGGAGTAATCGCAGCAGCCGGATGGGTCCCTTGATCGTCGGCTGGTCCTTGGACTCACTCGCCGTCGTCGTTCTGCTGGCCGACGTATGATTCTCCGTGCTTCCGTGCCCTGGTTGCTGATGGCTGTGCTTGTGCTCATTGCTCGTCTCATCCTCATGTCCGCCCACACTGGGATTCCGCGAAGGTGGTGCAGTGGCAGCTTTTGAAGTCATCGATTTTCGATGCATGTCGAGTAGCTTGTCCTGCTCGGGATCCGGAGGTGACACGAAGAGCCGGTAACTGTTGTCCGACAGCCTTGGTGCTTTCCACGGAAATCTCCGCAGTGTCATACAACAGAATATGATTGCTATTGACCAGATATCGGCGGGACGCGGATCGTAGCGCGAGTGATCATACACTTCGGGTGCGAGGTACGGGTCAGAGCCCACCACACCTATAGGTAACTTGTTAGCTGCTTGTCCCCTCCAAGAACACCCGACCATCTCGCAGTACGCACCTGTAGCTAAAACGACATTCTCCTCGAATGGGTACCGGAACACCACTGCGCTGCCAAAATCGATCAATTTCATGATGCCATGCTCGTTAATCACCACGTTGTCCAGCTTCAGATCTCGATGTGCAAGACCCATACTGTGCAGATACAAGACGCCGCTCAGAATCTGCAATGTGGCACACGTCACCTCTTCTCGGCCCATCTTGCCCGTCATAACGGTAGCAAACAGATCGAATGGCGCATATTCCATCACCTCGTACCATTTGCCCTTCTCCTGCACAATATCGATCGTTTCGATGATATTACCGTGATGTAACGTCGAACCAATACAGAACTCGGCTGTCACTTTCTTGTTGTACTCCCGCTCGCTCTCGTACGCATGACGATCTCGGAACTGCTTCACGGCGAAGACAGTACCATCGCCGCTCCTTTTCATCAAGCGCACCGAGCCGCCAGCGCCGGATCCCAGCATCTTTCCAAACTTGCCATATCTCGACTGTATCCCGTGATCGTCTGCAAACGGTACGCTGGGCACGTCTCCGGCGACGCTATGTGTCCGTGTCGGTGTCTTTGTGCCATCCTTCGCAAGTCCGCTCCACCTGTGCGACTCCTTCTCTTCTTTCTCATGCTTATCCTTCCCACCAAACTTGAAGAACCGCTTGAGGTTGGACTTGGAGCTGGAATGTGAGTGTCCTTTCTCCCCCACCGTGGACGAGCTGTCGTTGCTATGGTCCTTCTTGCCTCCAAAGAAGCTCGATCGCTTGTTGGTGGTGTTGTTATTGTTGTTGTTGTTATCGTCGGCCACTGCATGCCTCGCCTGTTGTAGATCTGTCTGGGACGAAGACCGTGATCCAGGCATGGGGTTTGCAGCGCCGGGAACGGCGGGCAAAGACGGAGCAGTGCCCGAGTTTGCAAAGCCAATAGCTGGATCGCGGTCGCCAAATCTGAAGCTGTTCCGTTTCGACTGCCCCGTTTCCGAGGACATCAACTGTGATTGCCGTAAGCCTTGCGGCTTGGCTTCAGCAGGAGTGAAAGGTCGAGGGGTTCCTGGAGCAGTGCTGCTAGGAGTACCACTGAGCGAGACATCACCGGATGGAGGCTGTGAATCTGATGAGGGTCCGACCGAGTGAGACGGTTGCTGCTTGGGATGACTGGATACGGGCATGGCTGAGGCCTCGTTCCGCACGGGTGAAGTGGACCGCTGAGGTGTCATGATGTCCTGCGGCGGCCGCACCGCAGGCGCACTGGTGGAGGCCTTGCCGCCATCTCGCGAGCGAGTGGCGGCCGGGGTGAGGGGAGGTGAATGCACTGCGGATGATGGTGGAGAGGGTCTGGGTGAAGCCTCAACTGATGTTCCGCCAGAGGTCATAAACTTCCTGGTGGATGCTGCTGAGGTGGAGGGCACCTGTTCGCGACGCAACGTAGTCAGCTTTCGAACCCACGACCATGGCATTTCACACAGGATGGATATAGTAGAGGTAAGGAGGTGTATGTGCTTACTCGTGATACTGGCTGCGAGCCCGGGAGGGAGAGCGGCTCAAACGCATGATGTTGCATGCGCGACGACTGGATGTTACCACTGTTCTGTAGCGTGTTGCGTAGCTGTGCCAACTCTTGCTGCGCATCCGGATTCAGATCGTCGCGCGGTTGTTGATCCTGTTGGCCCAGCTGCATGTCTTTGACGTCTTTGAGGGTGTGATCGTGCTTATCCTGGGCGGGCGCCTGCCTTGGTGCCATGCTGCCCTGTACGTAGCCATGCTGGTTGGCGGGCTCGGCCTTGAAAGCACGCTTGATTGTGTCCATGCTGGAGCCTGGCGGAGGCCGGATAAGGTTGTGTCTGCGCTTGGCTAAGGCTGTCGTCTGTCTGTCACCGACACTGGGGACAAACCTAATGGGCAACGCGCAGTAGGTAGGGCCGACGCGATGCTATGGTGAGCTCGCCGAGGAATGCACGTCTCGCGATTACGTCTCCTTGACCGTGGTGTCGCAGTCAGTCAGATTGGTACGAATGTGATGTGTGCCGAGGATTCCGAATTGTCGCCTAGGGTATGTAGTAGGTTGTATCTAGCCCTTCTGACGTTTTTCTCAAGCTGGCAATTCGCCGGTTTCGGCAGCGTGTGCTTCACCAATGGCGGCGAAGGGTACGATCGGCGTGCGAGGACAACCTTGCCAGGCAATCGGGATCAGGCGTCTGGTAGTCGTGTTGTGCAGCGGTAGCAGCAGCAGAAGAGCGCAGCGTGCCTCCGAATAATGAAATGCCGTCGGAGTCTCGTGAAAAGAGAAGCCGAGGCGTCTAGTGAGGGACGGAGGGAGGGCGGGCTGGCTGATGAAGCTGACTTTTGCAGTAGACTATGACTCTGCGCAGCTGGGGGGGGATGGATGGGTTGGGCGCAATGATGTCCCCGCCAACCGCCAGTCGCCAGAGAGGGACTGTGCAGGACCCTGCGACACGTGCTGCTGAGTGATGCTGGAGCTCCAGATGCGGCTCCTCGTGAATTGGTCAGCAAAGGGCGCAGGCGCATGTATGCGAAGAGTGTATACAGTAGGTGGTATGGTAGGCAAAGAGAAAGAAGGATGTGTATGTGCATGTGCGTGTGCAAAATGAGAATTTCTTCTTGTCGTCGTCGACGCGAGTTTGACTTTGACCTGCTGGACCATAGAACGAAACGCCCCACCGTCGATCTCTCTCCCGTCGCGAAAGACGGAGCAAAGTCGGAAGTGAAAGTCTTCGTTGACGAATGTGATGATGATGATGATGCTGACTCCGGTGTTCTAAGCTCGATTCAGACATTCCACACCGCACACACAAAGGAGGACTCTGAAGAGTTCTCAGTACCACCTAGGTATCTTTGTTCTTCTACATATGACCCTCACACCACTCGAACCAACCTGGAAGGTATATACATCTAGTTTCTGGAGGCAAGTCACCATTACCTCAGGTACCATGGCAGCCGCAGACTGCAGTCAAGAGTACATGTAATTCAACCTCAGCACCAAACCCAAACCTCGCGCCACGATTGTTATTATTATTAAGCATGGCCAATCTCGGCGGGTATAGGAACGTGGGGAGCAGCCATGTGCAAGAGCACGAATTTTCGCTTCCTAGTACGCCTTCCGTTAGTCGGCGAGGTCGTCCGTCGAGCCCGCGAATACGCTGCCCTAAAAGAACTACCTAGGTCTATTTGAGAAGGAGACACACCGATGCAGCGATGCAGTGACAACCGCTTATCTGTTGTCAAAGGATACACCATCAATCACCGCGACACGAATGCAGGAACAAATTCCGCCCACAACATATGTGTGTTTCTGTGTTTGGAACACTACCTCCACTACCTATACCAGACCTGACCTTCTTGTATATCTACAACGTACATACTGATCACTTGCAGGTTTTTGCCACCTGGCGTACCTGACACTACGAAGAAGCTTGATTCTGCGCCACCACCAGCTGTGATCTCCTCTGCATTCATTATGACCTGGCCTTCGGTAAATATGATGCGTCACCTGCTCGTTCTCCATGCGGCCAAGCTTCGTCAAGATGTGCCAGGCTGCATCGTATTGGCAGTTGCTCACACAGTTGGCGCCCGTCTTTCTCTACCAGTCTTGTGACGACGATGGCGCGCGGCTTTCTTACACCTGGTGATGCTTTCCATCTCCAAATTCGACAGCCTTGTATCGGGCTTGACACACTATTCCCATGCGCTTTACAAATTCCGTCCTCTTCGTCCAGCCAAGTGCTGGCAGCGCGATTGCCTCTTCAGCTGAGTTGCCTTTACCAGTTGAGCCTTTTCCATCATCATCATCATCATCATCACCATCACCATCATCAAGCTTCGTCGTAATGACGGGCTGCCATTTCTTCGATTCACCAGCCATACGCAGAACAGCGTTGACTCGAGCGCGGACTGCTCCCCCCGGAGAGAAGCTCTTCGATCGCAGATGGTGAATCGTTTCTGGAGTAAGAAAGTTTACGAAGAAGTGGAGACGCTTTGCTTCGACATCGCAGGAGGAAAGGCATCCTACTCGAATCCAATAGCGGTTATCCCAGAGCAGCCACTCCGTCCAGTAACGACGTCGTCCCTCATGCGGGGGCTCATCATCTACTCTGAGCGCGCTGAGCTTGATAGGTGTCATGATGGACAAGCGGTCTGGAGGTGTCCGAGAAATGGTAATATTAGTGCCTTTATCTGCACCAGGAAAGGACTGTTTCTGTATGATGACTCCTTGTATCTGGGTCTTGGTTGCAATATCCGACGCCTCTGAAAACATCGACTCAACTGCTGAGTCCAGGTCTTGCAAGGACATGGTATGCAGAGGCGACACAAGCATGAGCAGCTTCCTGGCAAGCACAGCTCTGACACGGTATGTTTCTCCGTTGGCAGTCGCACCAAAGTCGACATTTTCAGGTAGGCTAAATGTAGCTGTGCTCGTGCGCATATCGAGCTGAATGGACATGCTGTCGAAAATTGCCTTCGCTCGTTGCTCGTACATTCCGTACTTGTCGCGGATTGTCTTGGCCATGTCCACCAAACGTGGTCGCTGAAGTGCTGCTGGCAAGCTGCCAGTCTGTTGCAAATATCGAATGGTGTTGCGAATCGTGAGGCTCTTATCACTGTTGGTATCATCTTCGAACCACTGCACGTTATCTTTCTGGCAGATTTCAATTAATTGTGCCTTTGTAAAGAGCAACAGGGGACGATTCAGATATACACCTCCACTTTCAATCAGCATCGCGTCAGACATTGCCGACTTTCTGCGCTCCTTTTTCCGTGTATGCGTATTCGAGCTATTGATGCTGTGCGGTTTACCGCTAGCATCTACGCCATAGATACCCTCACACTCTGGTATCAGTGCCGTCCACTTGATGCCTTGCAGACCCTCGCCGAGGTATCGAGCGACAATCCTGGACATTACTGTTTCCCCAAGATCGTCAGCGTGATGGCCCACGAGAACAGTTGAGATGCGCTGTTGGAAGCATGCTTTGCCAATGGCCTGATATCGCAGCCGACGAGCGATAGTCTCGAAATTTGGCAGGTCTTTGGGATTTCCGTAGGGTGTCCAGTCCAACTTCAGAATCTCGGGTTCGATGTCTAGACGTCGGAGCTCATTGGCGACTTGCAGAGCTTCCTCTCTGCTTTCAGATCGCAAGCCATGATCGACGACGAAACCGGAGAAGGAATAATGAAGTTGATTTTCTTTCTTAAAATCGCTACAGATACTAGCAAGCGCCATGGAATCTACGCCACCGCTGACAGCCAAGCCTGTTCAATCGAGTCAGCCCAGAGATACCTATGCGAGGCAAGTGACATAGGGTATCATACCCAGCCGGCCCTTTGGCGAAGCATTGAGCTGATACTGAAGGCCTTTGTAGACCTGGCTTCGTAGACTTGAGATAGGTTCTGTGAACGCGCCGAGAAGACGAGCGCTGTAATACATTCCTGTGTATGCATGGCGACCTAATAACGACAAGCCGGCTCTGGGACATGCACAAATGCACAATCAATAATGATGTGGTGTCGGGGATGCAAACCCGAGAGCGCGTTGGACGAGGGGCTCGGCGCAAATTCGGGTCTTTTCTTGAGCAAGGGAGCTCTGAACCGGGCAAGCGGCCAAAACTGTCATAATTCACCTTCACGAGATTGCATGTGACAAACAAGACAGCTGTGTAAGTGAGACTACAACAACGACAACAACAATCACCCCAATCTCTCTTCATACTGCCCACCATGGACCACGCCATCGATCTCTCGGACCCGCAAAAGGCCCTCTCGCTGGCTCACATCCGCTACCAACTCATCCGCTGCGAAGACACTGTCCTCTTCCACATGATCGAACGAGCTCAATTCCCCCTCAACAACACCATATACCGTCCTGGTGCCATTGCAATCCCTGGCAGCGACCTTTCCTTCAGCGACTGGGTCCTGCGCGAACAAGAACGCCTCCAATCTCGAATAAGACGCTACCAATCCCCAGACGAATACCCCTTCTTTCCCGACGCCATGGAAGACCTCATCCTCCCTCCTCTCGAATACCCCAAAATCCTATGGGAGAACGATGTCAATGTCAACGATGATCTCAAGTCCCGCTACATCAACTCCATACTCCCGGGCGTCTGCCCGACACGCGAACGAGAAGAGAATAGTCGCGATGCACAAGAGAATTACGGATCTGCCGCTACAGCGGATGTGAATTGCTTGCAATCGTTGAGTCGGAGAATACATTTTGGGAAATTCGTGGCCGAGAGCAAATTCCGCGAGAACCCGGAGAAGTTTGTGAAATTGATCAAAGCGGGGGATACCAAAGGCATTGATGAAGCCATTACGAATGCTGCAGTGGAAGCGCAGGTATTGAAGAGGTTGAGGATCAAGGCGGAAATGTATGGAAATGATCCAACGTTGGATGCGGAAGCTCCGAAGAAGATTCCAGTGAGCTTTTTTTCTCCTTCTTTTTTTTTTCTCCCCCCTATTTTTTGGTTTCATGTTTCACTCTTTCTCTGGATCAGGACAGATGTGCTAATTTTCGCCCGAAAAAAAAGGTCGATGCTGTGGTGGCCATGTACAAAGATCATGTCATCCCACTTACGAAAGTTGTAGAAGTGGACTACCTGATGCAAAGACTGAAGGGCAGTGAGTGGGAGTAAGGTAAGTAAGGTAAGTAAAATACCATGATACTTGCTAGCGATGATCAATTATTGCAGCGTTCAAGCGCACCTGCAGCATGCACAATACCCGTCAGGTTCCAATTTAGACGCATCTTTTATCATCATGATGGGTATAATCACATATCACATTATGCCTCCTCTTCTCCACCTGCACCCTTTACGGGATGATCAAACCTCCCTATTCGTTTCGTCTTGATATATCAGAATCACCCGTCGGACCAGCTATAGAAAAGAAAAAAAGAAAAGGGCCGTAATCCGTCTCTAAATGTCCTCGGCCCTAGATACCTACCTCAGATTTCAACCAAAAATTTATCCACGAAAAAAAAAAATCTCCACCTCGAGCAACCGCAAAGTGAAATTCTTGCACATTCTCGCTCCCGCCGCCGCCGCCGCCGCAAAATATAAAAAAAAAAGATAAAAAAAAAAAAAGAACGCATCCGCCCACTCGAGACCCCAAACCCCTTTAATCCCACCCAACAAATTTTTTATATGACTACCTACCATAGAAACCCCTATCAATCAACATCCTGAGCTCCTCCCATCATTCTCTCATCCCTCTACTTCAACTCAATTAACTCAAGTCAACTTCAGACAAGACGGTTCCCATACCTTCCCTTACCTTACCCATGCATTCTTCACTCCTCATCACTGCCAAGCAGAATTCGGTCACAGCAATTAATTCGAAAATTTCGGTCGGAAATTCGCTGCCTATCTAACTACCTGTCTCCCTGTTGTTGAGTCCAAGGGTCCAAGATTTGTAGACTACCTACCTACCTACCTACCTTAGACAGGCAGGAGATCCTGGGTTGGATGATGCAGGAGAAGGAAGAGGAAGAGGAAGAGGGGCAGAGTGATATACGAGGGAACAATAGATAAAGAGAGGAGTGTTGGTGGATGGATGGATGGAAGAATACTAGGTGTCAGAAAGATTATATATCGTGCAAGACGGACTGCATGTACGTAGGTGCAGGTGGTGGTGGTGGTGAAATTTAAACAAATATTATTTAAAATCTCAGAGGGGGGAGGGGGCAGTATGGGAATGCAGTTAAGTCAATATTACAACGCCTCGCTCCAGTGCGTTCCCATGAGCAGTAGTACAGTATGCGCCAATCTCGCTCCATCGTAGGTATCTATCGATGATTTCGGGGGTATCTCGAACGAAGAAAATATCCGCAACTCCGAACTAAATATTCCCTCCTCAAAAAAGACAAAAAAGAGAAGTGTACAATTGATTGCGTTTGCACATTCTTGGAACATTTCCTCAATTGCAAGTCCCTTCGAAAATGGGGCTCAAGCATCCACGTCCATTCCGTCACTGCTCTCTCCCGAGTTCGGCTGCCTCAAACCAATTTCAGTGTCTTCTGCGATTCGCAGTTGCACATTTCGTACGTGGCAGACAAGGATCGCCAATGCGAGCGAGTTCCACACATCGTAATCCTTCTCGTTGTAGTTGAAGAATGCCATGGGAGTGCACTGGTCAGTATCGGCGCGATATGCCATGAATGCGACAATGGAATCGCACGCGACCAGAGCATACAGAGTGGGCAGCTCGTAGGAAAGTAGGGTGCCGTCTGAGACTCGTGAGGACGCAGGCGAGAACTCCACTGAGCGCGCCACTTGGAGCGCTTTCTTCCACCTCTTAGCTAGAGCTCGGCACTCGGCTTCAGCAATAGCTTTGAACTCGTTTCCAGGAGTGCCCGCTTCCTCGTAGATTTGCACCAGAACGGGGATTGCAGTTTGCATATCGAGGCCAGAGTCGGTTTCGGCCCACTTGATATAATCCTTGACATGGCGTTGGACTTCCAACTCGGCCCTTGCCTCATCACCGTGGATGAGTTTGCAATCGCGGACGTGGCCGCCCAGGTCGAAGAGTCTCTGGATCGCTTTGCTAGCTTTGAAGTGGCTATTACGCACACTCCCGATGAATGCCTCGTCGTCATGTGCAAACAGTCCGTCCGGCATGAAACGGTACTCAAACTTCATATACGCAGGAAAGACTGGTTCTCGACCACGCAGGCCAATCCTCTGAATGAGAGTGATGTAATCATCGTCCCACCCTGCCTCTCGAAGCTCTTCTTCGGTGATATTCTTGTCCTTGAGTTCCTTGGGGATCACCACGGTCCTCTTCCTCGGAGGAGTATCATTGTACCTATCGTCATCCACATCCAGGTCCAACGAAGCTACCGAGTCGTCATCCCTAATGTACTCCTCTAGCGATGGAGATGGAGAACGAGTCCTGGATTTCCGTGATGGGGTGCGCAGGAACGAATCTCGCTCGTCAGACCTGGACGAGTCCAAGCGCCCTCTACCCGGACCCAATGGGGAATCCAGATCTTCCACATCGATCTTGGGCTGTTTCGATTGCCGCCCAGAGTGCGCGCCGGAGTCTGAATCCGGCGTGTACAATCGCCGCTTTTTGCTCTTGCTCTTGCTCTTGCTCTTCCTCTTCCTCTTGACGGGTGATTCGAATTGGCTGGACAACAACGAATTCCAACTCAGCACCCTCTGAGTGGGGCTCATAGACCTTGAAAATCGTGCAGTTTGTGCGTCCAGTGAGGACTTTCGCAGAGGTGTCACCGACACGCCGGTCTGAGGCGTCGGCAGCGCAGTCTTGCTGGCTTTCTGAGGGGAGACATAGTTCCAGAGACTATCCGAAAGACGTTTCAAGAACGCCATAGCGCGTGGAGCCGCGCAGGCCCAAATGAAAGTATTAAATCGTTTTGAGGTGTAGTTGTCGTGTTAACGGTAGACTGTGGTCGGTTGGCGTGCGTGGTTTCGGCGGTGTTGGGAAGGCGGATGGGAACCGTGGAGAGAAAAGAGGTGTGACAAAGGAAAAAAGGTGAGGTTTTCGACGCCAGCGCCGCATAAAGAGTCATCGCAAAGGAGGACGGACAATAGACAGCTTAAAGATGCGGTATGCACCTCGACCACTAGCGCGTCAATCGCAACTGCCCGCATCAGGCAAGCGCGTCGAACATCCCTGTCCCTTCATGGGCTTGGCGCAACTTTCGCTTCATATGCGGATATATCATATATGACCTTTCAAAGTTAGAAGGCCCGGTTGCAAGAGCACAGTATTTCAATCTGATGATTTACTATTCTGCCTCTACAGTCTAGCCAAAATAAGTCACGAAATAGGCACCGGAATTAGTGATGTATATTTGGCGACCCTCTGAGAGCATCATCGTCGGGTCCTCCAACTAGGCAAGGTAGCTTCCCATTGACAAACACGATGCTCCCGCTGGAGCGACGCTATTGACTACCACTCAGACCGCCTCATGTCCAATGTGACAAAGACTGGTCGAACGAGATGCTTGCTTGTCAGGCTCATATGAGCAAGGTCGTCACACTTGCCGTTTAGAGAGGAATATCCCCAGCATTTGCTTTCAACGAGCCTTGGTTTTGAGGTCCTTTCGCGAGGACATGTCCAAATGATTGATGATGGGTGCATGGGTGCATGGGAGAGTATTTTTCTCGGGAGCCACAGTATCAAGCAATCATATCATACTATAAGCAGATAGATGCCCCTGCCACCCCAAATCCATAGCTCATCATCAGAGTCCTTCTTCCATTATTCCCTCGCCATCCTCAATCCTCCAATACCCAGCACTCCCCTCATCCCTCTTAACCACGAACCCCGCTTCCCTCAAACCCACCCAGCCCAGATCCCCCGTCCCTACCCTCCTCACAGGCACACAAACCGCCTCCACAGCCAACGCGCCCTTCCCCACCTCTTTCACCAACGTATTCACACTCCTTCTCACACTCTCCACCCACCTCGTATGAGCACTCTGCGGTAAAACCAAAGTCACAGGCCGAAACATTCTCAGTCCCTGGATTTTCGCAAAACTCAGCCGCTTGAGAAATTTGTACGCGGACGCGTGACTGGGTGCTTCGAAGCTGTTGCAGCCGTAGTAGATGGACGTGGCTTCTGCGCGGATTGCGCGGGAGGTGGAGAGGAGAGGAGGTTCTTCGCTGTTGCTGTTGCTGATGCTGCGAGATTTGAATGACGACGAGGAGCTTCGAGATTCGTAGGCGTAAGGGAGAATGATGGGCGTTTGCTGCACGAGGGCATGGGAGTAGATTTGGTTTCTCAATTCAGCGGGGAGACAGAGAAAGCCCGACTTTGAGGAAGTGGGAGATTGCGTCGTCGTCGTCGGTGGTGGTGGTGTTAGTGGAGCGGGACGAGGTTTCTTTGGGAGGCCGGCGCATACGCTGCCTGGCTCGGCAGTGAGGCAGAGGAACTTGAAGGTCCTCTTGAGAGGATTGTTGTTGCCGAGCATGATGTAGTACTGTATGTCGTGTCTTCGGCAAGAATATGTTGTGCGTCTGCGTGTGACCGGACCTTGGAAGGTGTTGAAGGGTGACTGCTGACTGTGAGCAAGAGTGAGATAATGTACTTATGACGAGGTAAGGGCCGTAAGGCCTATAGTTCTATAATAGTCAGTGGTAATCGCGCCCGGATCGTGCTGGTCCATCCGCATTCCTTGTTGTCACGAGTTCACAAATACGGCCGGCCGGCTTCGGCTTGAAGGAAGAAGCCAAGAAAGGCATCAGCCAAGCCTGCCAAGAATACTATATTTCCAGAACTCTCCTGATCTTCTCGAGTCCTCGGAAACTGTGGGTATCGACGGCATTACAAGGCCTTTGCCTAGCGGGCCGTCTACCTGACTTGCTCTTCTCGACTCGACTTATTATCTCTTACAATCATACCTATCATCATCATCATCATCATCATACCTCCTAGCAAACAAGACAAATACGGCATCTTGGCTTGCTTGGCCAGATGACAGCGATGATCCTTGGGCAAACCACCCGACAGAGGGATGGCGTGTCGACGACTGGACATAAATAATATTGTACATAGGAGGTACCGACCGCAGCGATGTATACTCTCGCCATACATCAGCGCCAAATGAAATGACTACGCTAAATGCAGCAATACAATTCAAGGAAGCACTACTACCTCACCTGCTCTCCTCCATTACGCTATCTGCGATGCTCGCCTATCGGGCACTAGACCCTCACGCTCACTGGCATCACCCGTTCGACCCATGATCAGTTCCGTGCTAAAAGGCGCCGTGGTTGGTCGATGCGGTACAGGCTCTTCCGTGGCCCAGCGCCAGATGTTTTTCGTGGCACCTTTCGTAGCGAATTCAATCAGTGGTGTAACGATTACCGTCACGAGCAACAGAAGGGCGTAGCAGACCAGAGCCGTGATGATGAGTATGCCCCAATAAGGCATGCCCAGGTCGCTCAGAGACACGGCAACGTAGGCGCCCATACTCCAGAAGATGAAACCATGTAGCACTATGCAGTGTTAGCGCGTGTATCAATAGCATGCTAGCGTAGACGCGAGGCGGTAAAAGGACTTACAGTACAATGTCATAATATGCGGGTGGAAGAAGGTGATGAGTTTTATACTCAATGCTTTCTGAGCCCAGACAGAGAGCTCCACGATTAGTTGTAGCCCCAAACTGAAAGTAAGATGTGCAAAACTAGGCGCAAAGTATTCTGGATAAGCATACCAGACCGACGGAATCGTCTCGAAAAGTGGTCTGCCAGTGAGAGGCTCGGGGTGAATCGCATTGTCCCACGACATGAATGACCATTGGTAGAATGCGGAGTTGAAGAGCAGAACCAGTGGCGTGGCCAGAGTGATAAGAGCCCCAAAAGTCAAGGTAGGGTAGAGTAGCCACCAACGTGCTTGGATCTTCCGTCGCCAATCGTAAGTGATGTCTACATCTGCAAGCATGAGACCGAGCCAATGGCACGCGGACCAGCTCGAGCCATACCAACCCATTGCTATGCTGAAGAGGTAAAACAACATTCGCTTCCAGGGTTTCTTGACATCTTTGATGAGCACTGCTGCCAGCAAGACCACAAATGAGAACTGTAGTTGGACTGGAATTGTCCACAGTACACCGACGCAGTAGTTGTTGATGACTTCCGGAGCTGCGTTGGGAATGATATAGCTCAATTCCACCAGCTGATTCAGGAAGATGCCGAAGTTGCCCTGCGGCGTCACGTATGGCCAAGTACTAAAACTGACGCTAGGCAACCACTCCAACCTTCCGGTCAGTTCGAGGGAAATCAAGAAATATTCAAAGGTCATGAAGATGAATACCGGGATCAACATGCGAGGTGCACGAAGAAGCATCTTATTCGCGATGTCATCTAGTTTGCCAGTCTTGAGATATCGCTGGGCCAGAAAACGACAGGACGTAACGAAAAAGGGACCGATCCAGAGAGGCGTCAGAATCCATGGGCCCACAATGTATGACAAGACTGTGTCTGCGTGGAAATGCTTGGAATCACCCTGCGATGCGATGATATATGGCCAGAAGGTGAGGCAGAAATGCCTCACTGTGACGAATATACATGAAAGAGCGACAAGACCGGCGAGATAATCGATCCGCGCAACCGGCTGGGCTGATGGCACCTTGGGAGCTTCTGGTAGCTGTTCTTTCGTGGGTTCCGCTGTCGCGCCGCCAGTGATAGCATCTGGGATACCAGTCTTCTCATTGGCGATTTTCCCCACAGACATGTCCTGAGGCGCTTTGGGCACATCAATAGGCTTCACCTTGCTGCGCTTGTCACCCTTCTGGCTTCTGTGACTGGAACTGCGAGCTGGAACGTTCTCGCTCAGATCCATGAAGCTCTTGGGCCGACTGCCTCCGTCGCGAGCTTGCTCCCAGGGAAGAGCAGGGCGTGGGAATTGCCATGGACTGAGGGGTTTGGTAGGAGTAAGAGGCCGAATCTTATCGCGTTCTTCTTCCGCATCGTAAAAATTGTCGTCTGCCTCTCCCGTAAGCTCGCGATATGCCCTCCCGCGAGGACTGCCGGTCTGAGATTCATCTGATGCCCGGCCGCTGCTTTCGACACCCGGCACACCCATGAGACTCATGTACGCTCGCGTGCGATGATCCTCGTTATCTTCCTCATAATGGAGAGCTTGCTCAAAATACTGTGGGGGTACAAGAAGGTTTGCATCACCCGGACCTCGTATCGTTTTTGGTCTGGACGGGCTGGAGTGGTTGCGTGCATGACCCAGAGCCCCTCGGGAGTTCATCGACCGCAAACTCCGCGCCGGTGCATGCGTGCCACAATCGTATGCTGGTAGTGGGGTCATGGTGCCCAAGTCACCTTGCGTATCGGCGTGCGAGAAGTGGGGGTACCCGAACGGAGGCGGTACGTCGCTTCTGGATGTGTAGCCAGGAGCTGGAGTCTGAAATCCAGATGCGCCAGCACTACCCAATGACGTGTACCGTCCTGGATTTGACAACGGCCTAGAAAAATTTGCAGCCATATTGGTAACCATATTTGGACCCATGGAATTTCGCAGTGACTGCCTCAACGCATTCACGGAATGTCTCTTGGTCCCTGGAATTTCAATTTTCTTCAATTTGTGCCAGGGGCCACGACGTATGAGCGCGTTGATCACCGCTGCAACGCCGAAGGTGGTAAAGGCGGCCGCGATGTAGCCAGCCACATCACGAAGGCCTCTTTGCTTAGCCTTGCGCTTCCAGGGAGTTGTGGCAGCGCGGACGTACTCGGTCGATCCACGCAGCGTTGTATCATCGACGGAGCAATAGCTCGCCCCAGAGCACCGCTGGTCATACTCGCGGTGATCGTCAGCAGTCATGAGCGAGCTGTTGAAAAAAGCGCGAATCCATCGCACGCTCCCATACGAGCCATTTTCCGGCGGTCCCATCATATAGTTCACATCGCCTGTAGACCAGTGACTAAAGTAGAAGGTGCCAGGAGCTTCTGGGATCGATCTCTCGTCATCTGTGATGCGGCGAGAGTTGTTCCCGTTGATATAGAAGTCAACAGTCGTCTCATTCCAGTCGAACTGCAGATCCATGAAATCCCATGGGGAGCGAGGCGGAGAGCTGGACTTTGTGCCTTTCTCGATATCGGTGTAGTTGACTGAGAGGCCGTAGTCGGGAGATTCGCCATTGACAGTCTGCAGCACTCGAGCCATACTCGCTTCATTCATGTTGAGCAGATCCAGCTCCACATCTTGAGTGCTGTTGTACTTCACGTACATGGAGACAGCACTGCCTCCGACATTCGGCTTAGCCGAGCGCATGGAGCTCCGGAACGTGCCGTATTGGATGTCGCGTCGCATTGATCTCAGTTCTGCTCCGACTGACAAATGGTCGAAGCGGCGTGGATCCAAGATCATTTGCATGCTCGGTTGCGTTAGATTCAGATCTTCTTGCCACCGCCATGTTGCGTTCCTGCCAAACTGGAAATTGGCAGGGTTCGCGCCTTGTCGGAAGGTCGTGCCCCACCCACGCTGGTTCTTGTTGCGATAACTGAGAACCTCGAAGATGTGCTGGTCCACGTATTGTGTTTCGTTGAAGTAGATGATGATGGACTCGGTGAAGATGTCTCGTGTTTTCGTGTCTTGAAAGCCGCACGAACAATCGCTCGAAAGGGATACATTCTGGGCTCCGATGGTGACCACTTGCAGCACAAGTATCAGATGTGCAAGTGTCGACAGCATCGTCGCTGTTGCGGGAAGAATGGTCGGCCGCAATCTTGCACCAGATGGGAGAGTGATTGTGGTGAGGACAGGAAGACGAGTTCACACAGTCAGTCTGTATTGAGCAGTGGACATGGGCTGGAAGGTGGTGGCCGTTGAGGTTGCCACGCCCGATCATTGTGCTTGGTTGTGGGCCTTATTTTGGCATATTCCGCGGCCGGCTTGTGTTGCAAGTGCACGTCGCGAGCCAGAAGATCGATAAGGTAGACCAGCTCATTCGGGACATGTGCCCACGGGCTGTGTGTCTTAGTGACGTATCGCAGTCACAACCATTACCCACTCGGTGTAAGGCGCGGAGTGAATTCGAAGACAGTGGGGATGATTGTCTCAGACGCTCCACGCCATGCTGCACTCGACTGGCCCTGGCCCTTGCTCTGGGGCTCACAGAAGAAGAAAGGCATGTCCCCCAGCTCAGCTGATAGAACTACATAATCCCGCTTGGCGCGCGGATCTTTCCTTCTGCAATGCGGTAGAGTCACGCATCAGGAATTCAGGGTGGAGTGTCTGCCTATCGCCGCGAGGCACACTCGGGAGCGCTAAGATACGTCGGTCGTTGATCGCTCGAAGTGGCGACTGGCCAGCGCATGTGGAGGAGGAGGAGGAAGAGGAGGAGGAGAGTTGCTCAACATAGTCCTTGCGGGCGAGAGGAGAGAGGCGCGCCACGCACGCACGTGAAAATGTCATCCCACTGTACCTTCTATACCACTTTAGGCTTGATGAGATGCCGCCGAGGATAACGTGTCGGCCTGTCAGGTACAGTGCAGGTAGTGCTAGCCGACTCCTGTACCTGCCTGTGTCCCTGGCGATCGGATGCAATACAGCGTCTTTTGGCTAGCTTCCATGGCTACGTCTCTCATTGTGATGGCAGTAGATAGTCCACGCCAGCCGTCAGCCGTGCGTATGTTCATGTAGGCTTCTGGGATAGGGATAGTAGGCCGTGCACTCGATCATGGAACTCGGCGAGCACAGTACCTCCTAGCTGCTGGGAGGTAGCCATGATTCCGGACGGCCTCGCCCGTCTTGCCTGGAAGCGGTGATGGGTAACGTCAACATGGCCGAGGATCAGGTATCAGGTATGCTGGTGGTCCGGTGGTAGGGTTGACGGGTGAGACATGTGCATGATGTTTTACGCGTCTACCTGTTTACCTGTCCAAGCCACCAGAACATGGCGCGCCCGTGCCCGCGGGGAGGTAGGAGGAGTAGGTAATCTGAGGGTGGGTACATAGGAGGGAAGTGGTGTGGCGAGGCAAGGTTGGAGTCCTTCGTCACATCCTGATCTGCTCGCACTGCACTGCTAAGTTTGCAGCTGTAAACGAAGGAACGAAGGAACGAAGGAACGATGGAGCAAGTGGAGTGATTCAGAGAATAAGCTCAATGGTACGCTAAAAGTGTCTACATTGTTCCTGCTTGTCGTCCCCGGGTACAAGCGACCGAAGTACATATAGAGCTAACTACATCGCCAATAGCGCCAAAGCTAGTCGGGAGCCACTTGACTGCACTTCCTGATACGAGCTAGGAGGTAGGAGAGGTAGTTCGATGGCACAACAACCTCCATTTAGCTATTCACTGTCGTCCTGGTGCTTGTGCTGACTCTTTCCTCTCTATTGAGAACTACATTGTAGGTAGGCACTAGTTCGAACTGGTCTGGTCCTCGCCCTCTATCTAATTAATCCACAAGCCATGTGTAGGTTTTCTTGGCCAGCCACACAGATGGCAGGTCTACGAGTCGCCAATACAGCTCCGAAAAGACAGCAATGGCCAGGAGCCCCACCAGAAAAACCACTCCATTAGCACCAGCTGTCGATAAACCCTTATCATTGTGAAGTGCAAGCCACAGCTTAATGCCGCCAGTCCAAAAGAATATGCATTGGGCGACAAAGATACCTGGCATTGTTGGTCAATCAAGGGGGTTCTGAGGGCAAATCAACAAACATCGTGTGACTTACTGAACGATCGCTCGCCCAAATAGACCAGCGGCCTCAATGTGAGGAGGTGCCGAGCTTTTGCAGAGAGCTCAATTGCGAGTAAGATGCCCACAATCACAAACCAGTCGTCGAGCCGTGCATACGGTCCATTCTCGACCACTGTACTCGGCGAGTACCTTGTGGAAAGGTCAAGGTAGGGATGAAGCACCAGAAGCTTATCCACGAACTGTGGCCGAACCGTGAATGCGTACTTGAATGCGATGCCCATGGCAAAGAGCGCTATCGCGATTGGCATATAGGACACCCTCCAATCCTCTCGAATCTTCACTCCCAGTCGGAGTTCTTGTCGCAGCGTCGGGTTGGTTGCAACGTCTGCAAACAGCAGGCCCGTGACTGAGTACCACCCCCAGTAGCCCATCCAGAAAGATCCCAGTCCAAACAGGCCAAGACCAGACAGATGCCACTTCGGTCTCGTGAATGGCAGGATGGCCATAATGAAGTAGACAGTATATGACTAGACCACGTTAGCCTCGGTGAGTTCGCGCTGTCTAGTATATCACCCTACCTGGAAATACATAATCGAGGGCGCCCACAGGGTCATGGTTGGCCAGAATGTATTGGCAGCTTGTTTGTAGTGATCATAGCTCAGCCAGAAGAGATTGAACAAGGAGTTGAAGGCAGCGCCCCCATTAGGCACAACCGTCGGCGTTTGTATCGAGTCGTTGGGCAAGTCATTCTTGAATTTGTCAATGAACTGCGTTCCTATAGATGCATTGTCGTCAGAACTATCGAGATCATGTACACTTCCGTTCCATCAGCACGCACCTATTTGGGAGAATATGAGTGTTGCCATTCCGGATCCAACGCATAGTATGATAACCATACGCACGTTGCGGCGTATGACTGTTGCAGCATACGTCTGTCCCGTAGGAACTCTCAAGAAGGACACTGCAATTGATCGCATAGACAAAATGATAAAGAAGTTGTATATGAGACTCTCGTTCCACAACGGTACGCTGAGAATCTCTCTTAGCAGATCCTGATAAACTGGTCCGTTGGTGCGGTTGGAGGCCAATGTCGGGATAAACGTCTGGAAGAACGTCCATATGAAGCTCTCGACGACGAGTATACCTCTCAGTCCTGTGATATGGAGTTGATGGTGACTCCTATCGGCCAAGACCAATTGTTTGATAGTTCCGAGTGCGCTACTCTTCGCAGAGACCGTACTTTCGTAAGTGGCATCTGAGGATGAGTTATTGCGATAGTGGTCCGTTCCGAGTGAGTACTTGCTCATATTGTCCCTCTGCTAGCTGCTGGAATATCTTGAGATGTTGCTCAAACGGGGTAGCGAGAGTAGATTTTCTTCGAGTGTTGCAGGTCTAGACACTGTTAAACTGAACTAGGATACCTCCTATGTTCAAGAAAAGGACATATACAGATCAGCAGCCTAACGGACCAGCTCTTTGGGACAAACGTCGACGAAAGTGTCAACCCGGGCCCGCTGTAACAATACATCCCACCAACGTCCCGCGCCACGAATCTCGATCAGTCCGGGTGCGAATCGCCACGTCTTGCGAAGGCCTCGGGAAGATCGAACCGTTGGACATGTGAGGGTAGTACCGATGCGTCTGTAGATTCGACGCCACTGAACGGTCTCACAGATGGCGTGGAACCTCTCGGATTGCAAGCTCAGTTGACCAAGCACTGCGCACATGTGACGGGTGGCATTGCATTGCTCTGCCTCTGCTCCGCCTCTGCGTACACCAATCGCTGGATCATGATGGGCTGAGACAGCTTTTGAAGATCCTGAAACTAAAGAGAACCTTAGTGGGTAGTTTATCGACGAGGACGGGACACGAGATGGGGCTCCGCTCTGTTTGGTACGCGTCCTGCAGGTACCAAAAGACGACTCGCGAGAATGGAGTCCGCTGCAGGTACAACAGCACTCATGCGTTGTTATTTCTTAGTGTCACGAGCTCTTGGAATTGTGAGATGATGAGGTTGGAGCAAGTGCACATTTTGATGATAGTGGTGTCCGTGAATGAGATGGAAAGAGAAAGACGATGATGGAGAAGTAGAAGAGCGAGAGGAAGGAAACACATGTGCTGCCTCAGGCCTCAAGCCCCAAGCAATTTCTTGCACCTCATTCTCGACCACTCCACTACCTCATGTACAATCTAACTTCAGAATCGCCCGAAATGTCTCAAGCGGCCCAGCTGATGCAACGCACTGATCACGATGCCACTGGACTCTGAGCATACAGCCATAGTGGAGGGCTGGAGGCGACACCGAGAGGCGGCTTCGCGGCCGATACTCCTTCGAGACGACTTCGGCGCCGTCTGGGTCGAGGTATCAGCGCGACATCACGGCGTCGATGGCAGTGCACGTCTGGAGGCGAATGGCCTGGCAAATCTCGGTGCATCTAGCTGGACTTCATCTGGTGATGACGATGATGATCCTGCTGCTGCTGCTGCTTCGATCGTAGCTCTCGAGCCTTGGCCCCACCATGTCTCTCCATGAATGGATTTGTTGATATGTATACCAATCGTCTCGTGTTGCGCTGATCATGCTTGCTTCTTTTTGCCCTGGATAGCAGTCCTTCAAACCATTGATGTCCGCCCAGCTGGCCTCTTCTTAGCTTCGACCAAGTCCGCCGACACAGTCTACCGGCACTGCAAAGCCTCGCCATAGTCAACATGATGTCCTTCAAGAATATGCTTCCATTCACGCAGCACGCCTCGAAGGGCCAAAAAGAAGCACATACCGCCCAGAACTCACGGCAATCGTGGACGAAATCACTCATACCGAGCGCAACGCATTCGCTACGCTCTGCAACGCTAGCATTTTCGGACTGGCTCCTGGACACAACGCCCTTCTTTCTGGTATCCACCTATTTCGTCGTCACAACCGCCATCTTCTGCTTCTGCAATGAAGAAGCGATCAAAGTCTTCTACTTCTTTTACATGTCAACCAACTTCTACATTGCAGCATGCTGCGTAATCGAGTCCTTCCTCGGCTTGACCCCGGTTCGCGATTCGCGCAAGGCCGCAATGGCCGTTGAAGCCAGCGGCAACTTTCCTAGTGACATCAACGGCAGAGCCAAAGACTTGCCGACGATCGACCTGGTTATTGTAGCATATCTGCCGAACGAACAGGAAATCATTCGGCATCAGGTCTTGTATGCATGCGAGGAGCTGATTTACCCCCCGGACAAACTGCGGATCAATCTCGTCTACAACACACCCAAGCCGATAGAACCGCTCGAAAGTGAGCTGGCCCAACTTCCGAGCGAGTACAAGAACCTGAGAGTCGTCAAGGTGCCTGGTTCCAAGTCGAAAGCCGACAATCTCAACTACTTCTTCAGTCTGCGGTCGGATGCGGAAGTCATTGGCATCTTTGACAGCGACCACTGCCCCCACCCACATAACCCACGATGGGCTGCCGAACGATTCCTTGCCGATTCCACAGTGGATATTGTCCAAGGTCGATGTATAGTCTACAACACCAACGAAAGCTTCTGGGCCAAGATGATTGCCATTGAGTTTGACAAGATCTACGCCATCTCCCATCCCGGACGAAGTCGAATGTTTGGCTTCGGACTCTTCTGCGGAAGTAATGGCTACTGGAAAGCACCTCTTCTCCGCGCGCACAAGATGCACGGCGACATGCTAACAGAAGACATCGACTCTGCTCTTCGCGCATACGGCATCGGCAAAAAAGCCGTCCACGACATGAATGTGTGTTCATTCGAAATGGCCCCCAACACCTTCCACGCATTCTGGAAACAACGTCTCCGATGGGCGCAAGGCTGGACCCAAGCATCCTGGAAACACAAATCTCTCGCCTGGACCAACCCACCCAACGGCAAACGAGACTTTGACGAACGATACGGCATCGTCTCGCTCCTCGCCGTCCGCGAAATCAGCTACTACCTCGTGACGATGCACACCTGCCTCCTTGTCAGTTTCGTCATCGTCGGCTGGCCCTCCAACACGGCCGAACTGGTCCGACTGCTCTTCTTCCGCTATCCCATGGCTCAATGGTTCTTCTTCGCCACCATCGTCGCACTCCTCTACACCCTCTACTTTACGGAAAAAGTGCGATCGGAATTCACAACGTGGAAATCCATGGTCGGGTTTTGTGTCATTTACGTTCCGTATTTGATTGTCATGGCCACCATGGGCTTGTATGGGCATGCGAGACAGGTCATTCGGTATTCGAGTTGGAATCCGACGGCACGGAAGTAGTAGACACTACATGATCTATTTCTTAGCAGTTGTGTCTTACTTGACGTGCTTGTAAAGCGTTTCAGCCTGGCGTCTTTTCCCTTTTTCTTTTTCTTCTTCTTCTTCTTCTTCTTTCTTTTCTTTCTTTTTTGGGAGTTCGGGGGTGGTGTTCTTCTGTCACCATGAGAACCGTGGCCGACGGCAGCGAACCGGTTTTCCAGAGCACGTTAATCAACAATCGCATGTAATTATTATCTGCCTTGTTAATTTTGTTCTTGAAGTGTACTATTACCCATCATCATCATCATCATCATCATCATCATCAAAAGAAATTGAGAAAGAGCCTTTGGGGAAATAAAAAGTAAGCACAGGTATGTACCTGTCTTGTTCAATGATACCCTGTTTGTCGCACAGTAAGATACATAAGGTACCCAAGGTACCAGGTACATATACCTTATTTGTGATGCACAACATCCAATTATTCAATCCCGTGGATCTTCCCATCTCTTCCCTCTCTTCACTTTTTTAAGTGTCGTGTGGATGTATCCTCGTGGTGTTTCTCGCTCGCTACCTACCCTTTTGGGTGTATAGTAAGTAGTAGGCAGGTCTTTTCGTCTTCCGGCAGATCGACTACGGATGTGTATGGCATCTAGATGCTGATACTGGCTCGCAGTAAGGAGTACAGAGTGGCCCGGCTTCACGGACAACGTTATTTGTTCTTTTTGCGGCACCACCAGGAACCCAGGGAGTCTGTGATTCCGATGAGATTGAAGATGGCAGTGCGTGATGGATGTCCGGCCACTCGTGCTCCTTTTGCAGAAAGGTATACCTCCAGGAGCTAGGGTAGGGCATATTCGAGAGTTCGTGCTGCCACCAGTCGTGCCAACACCTCATGGAGACGTGCTTGTGCATTCGTCGCTGCAGGAGACTTTCTTCTTTCATGAGATCCGGGTCTAAAACAGTTCTGCTTCCGCTCGTCGGATCAGTGCAGTCTGTCATCTCCCCCAGTTTTGGTGTGCAGCTCTGGTGATGCTCCGTGCGCACCAGCGTATCCGAATCTACTGGGCCCAATGTAGACGCTTCTTTATTCGTTTGATAAAGAATCGAACAGCAGTTGCTCAAGGTCGATCAAGTATCATTTTCCTGTCAGCATGGAGGCTTCTTTTCACTTCTTGGACTTTTTTGATGCGCGTCCAGACTTCGGGACGGTCTCCGTGCGTCGATCATTTTCACCTTCGCCACTTTCGCCATCCGCGTCCTTCTCCACGCCTGCGGAAGATTGTTCCTCGTCGGCAATGCCAAGGGCAGCCCGAGCTCTCGCACCACCGCGTTTCCTCAGCTCCCCAGTGACACCGCGCAGCGCTGGAGGCACCTCTTTGCCAGTCTTGAGATACCACAGCTTGAGGTTGCGAGCCTTGTCCTTGAGCTGAACCTGATTTCGGTCTTTGAGCACTTCACTGGTCGAACCACCCCTGCCATACAAAGCCAGAATCTGTGACCAGTGAGGGCCGTTCACGCGTTCGAGGCCTGCGAGGAGTGCATCTTCTTCGGGCTTTGTCCACGGTTGACGTATTGTGGAGGCAGCGGGAGCGGACTTCTTCGCAGCCGCACCATCGCCAGACTTAGCATTGAGGTTCAAGTTCTGGACCGAAGCCAATGCAGGATGAGCAACGCCATTGCCACTTTGACTATTCGAGTCTGCGGCAGCATTCGTGCCTTTCGCTCCTCCACTCGCTTGAGAGCGCACAGGCACATTCATGATGCCGTCCACATTCTTCGTAATGCAGGATGCAAACTCGCGTACAAAGTCTGTCCATTGGTACTTCTTGGGCAGTTCATGCATCGATTCCTCCGTGCTGGGCTCCGCGAGCAAATAGCTCTTCCGTGCTCGACTTCGATCAATAAAGTCTTGCTCGCTGGGTGACAAGCTCGGTGCGTCGGGGTGTCTCGTGAGAATCTGGGCATCCAGATCGGGCGGGAAGAGTTCGTCGAGCATTTCTTCGCGACTGCCATCACTATTCATCAGTGCAGAAATGTAGGTTTGTGTCTTGAGTTCAAGGTAGATGGCACCCTGCCACTTCAGTAGGCGATGGCCGAGCGGAACAAAGGTCTCCATGAAGAACTCGTTGAGGTGGAAAAAGCTGACGTCGTGAGCACCCAGGATGCTCGAGATGAAGGTGGCAATGTTTGCTTTGCGAATGATCTCTTGCTGAGTCGGCTGGAACATTTGGATGGCAATGGCGTCGATGAACGGTGTCTCCCGGCTGTACACTTTCCGCGTCTGATCGAAGAGGTTCTTGAGCGTCCGATAGGCTTGACCGTCTTCAGAGCCATCGCTGCGCATCATGTCTTGAATCTGCGGATAGCTGGCCTTGGAGATGGTGTGGATCAGTTGTGTCGCCAAGTTATCGAGAATGGGCAGACTCTGGATCTTCAAATGCATGCTGGCATCATCGAAGCAGAAGGATGACGAACTCCGCTGCAGCGATGTCACCGCGCCAGTGCCTGGAACAGTCAGTTTGATAGCACCGCGCGGGCGTGAGTGGACTGACCAAACGATGTGTACTGAGCGGCAGGGTCAACATCGGAGTAATGGAAGGTGGTCGCAGCGTGGACGCCATCATGCATGTCGCCCGCATGAGCAGATGTCGATGGCGGAAAGTATGGCATTGTCGCAGTGCCCGATGATGACTCTGCTACAGGCAAAGTCGTGGGGGGAGCAGTCGAGCCGGAGTAGGACGATGGCTCAGTAGTAGTGGTAGTGGGCCACGAGGCACTATTATTATGATTATGGATTGACGAGGTCTGCTGCTGGTAGAAGTAGGGCTGTTGCGAATACGCGCCTAGATCGGGATACGTCGGCGGATGACTAGACTGTGGCCAATGCGAGGGCTCAATCAGGGCAGAGGCGGGAGCTGGGTTGCTGTACTCGGGAGCAGATGATACAGCAGATGATACAGCAGCAGCAGTAGAGGGAGGAGGAGGAGGATGAAGAAGAGGAGCGGCTACAGCAGTAGTATCGTCTGCCGCGGAGCCATCCAGCAGAATCCTGCGTCGTTTGCCATCCCTGCCACTGCCACCGCTATCTCTGGCGGCGGTGGAAGTGGACGTGGACGAGGACTGCGCTCGGTCTGGCATGATGCTTCCTGGAGCGCCCAGCCAGGCATGAGTCGGGACGACTACTAGGCGCACACACACACGTTAGTGCTCGGTCGGTTGGAGGGCAGACAGGCAGACAGGCAGACAGGCAGGCGGGCAGGCAGGCAGGCAGGCAGGCAGGCAAGCAAGCAACCGCAAGCAGCAGCAGACCAGACCAGACCAGACCAGACCAGGCAAGGCAGGCGACGACGACGATCGAGTAAGCCATAGCCCATCATCGTAATCATCATCATCATCATATTGCCCATGGCCCATGGAATTGGATGGGCGAAAAGATGAGACCTTTGACCTACCTGCGGTCTCCATCCTGGCCGGTACGACTCTAAATCCGTGTATATTTCTGTATTCGTGGTGTGTCGTGATCCTACCGAGCCCTATAGCCCTAACGTGCAACGCGCACGACGGCTCGCTTCCGGCTTGTTCGGCGGGTCACAGTTGCAGTAGTCCGACGGCTACCGACGCAGAGTCAACGCGGCTCGGCTCTGCTGCTGATGGATATCTCCTGATAAAGATATTGACGATGATATTGATGATGATGGTGATGATGGAGGAGGAGGATGGGCAAAGTGAGTTGAAGTCGGGAGTTAGTACCTGAGGTGTTCTCCGCGTCAAAGTCGTCCCGCTGCGAAGAGCCTCGTCTCAAGAAGAGGGCGAGCGCCGGCGGGTTTCAACGATCCAGGCCCGCCCGCCTGCCCGCCAGGATGAATGAGTCAGCAAGGTTCATCATCCTTACCTGTATGTACCTTACCGCACCTTATCTCTATTTGGTGTGTTTCCACGGTTTCCAACTTTCCATTCACATTATTCTCCCTTGCCCTAAACCACATCTTCATCCTGGCCCTACCTCCTACGAACGAGCGTAGAACACCTATAATTCCTTCTCATACTCAGCCTTCTCTCTCTCCCTCAAGATATCCTCTAAACTCCCCCTCCATCACATCCAAGTACCTTACCTAACCATGCCCTACCTAACCCTACCTTCCATATACAACCGTCGCCTAGCCCAGCCCAGCCCAACCCAGCCGAGCCTATCAAGCACAAGCATACGTACCTTAGGTAAAGTGCACTCCGGACCGGCAGATCACACTTTTTATCAGTCCAAAAAATCAACTCGCCTATGTACAGTAACAACCAACATCCCTTCCGGATTCCCCCTTCCCCATGCCATGCAAAGGGAAAAAAACCCCCCAAAAAAAGTTACCACCTGAACCCTGCAGCTAGCCCTGGCCCCGAGGGTCCACTCTCCATCCTTTCTTGTTTGCCCCAGATGAGGGCAGTTAGGGCACACGGCAAAACCCGGCACTCTCACTCCAAACGCCGAGACGGGGCGGCAATTGTGTAACCAACCACCTGCCTGACCTCCTACTGTAACCATGTACCTTACCTTACCAAGTTTACTTCATCGAAAAATGACTGCAGCCATAAATACATACCCTACCTAGGTACTAATAAATAGTACAGCCATTATACGAGACCCCTAACATACTCACTCACTCACTCCCTTTCTCTTCTCTCTCTAGGAGGAGTCTGTGTATGTGGGATCCACGAGAGACGTTCTACGAGAGAATACGAGATGATACGAGAGAAAGGCGCCGAGAGATAGTCCGTTCTCTGCTAATAAATGAGTGAGTGATGCCTATATGTACACAGCCGTAGTGTACCTCGGCCATTTCCATCTGCTGGCCTCCCCACCCCAAGTAGTCACTCAGTCCTCACCAGAGCCACCGACTCTGCCTGACCACCAGAGCGAACTCACCAAACTCTCCGAAACTTCATCACGGAGCTCCTCGAGAGGAGAGGCCGCTCTGATCTTCCTGCAGCAGCGTGACTTGACCGGGCCTCGGTCTAGCGTCGCATGTATTCATCGTACGCACCGCGTACCGGAACTTCAGTCGGACTCCTCATCGCATGAAAGCCCGGAGGGAGACTCGGGGGTCCTCCAAAGAAGCCAGGGGGTGCACCTCCGCTCAATGCGGGAGGGGACATGGGACCACCGTTGAAACCGGGCGGCGGCTGCTCTCGTTGCTGCGGTGGAAAGTTGCTCACGTTGGCAAAGCCGGGAGGAAATCGTGGCATCTGATTGAATCCTGGAGGCGGTGGTGCTCCGCCACCGATAGGGGAGGTGAGCTGATGAAAGTCCGGCTGACTGTGTTGTGGGGGGATATGCATTTGCTGGAGTACAGGGTGGCCAGACATGCGCCGCGGTGGCTGCTGCTGCTGTTGTTGCTGCTGCTGCATCTGCTGTCGCTGGTTCATCTCGGCATATTGCTGTTGGCGGCGAAGCTGCGCTTGTTGTGCTTCGCGTTCTGCTTGTTGTTGAGCCTGCTGCTGAGCTTGTCGCTGTGCGTGTTGTTGGGCTTGTTGCTGAGCCTGCTGTTGAGCCTGTTGTTGGGCTTGCTGCTGCACATGACGTTGTTGCTGTGCGAACATGGCGTCCTGCTGTTCGTGATTGTAGAATCCTGGTGGCGCGCGGGTCTGCTGTCGGTCCTGCAATTGCGACATTTGCTCGTGACGCTGCTGCTCTTGACCGTAGTTGCGCATCAGCTGTTCCTCAAAGCCTCCGGGGGGTTGCTGGGGACCACGTGGCTTCGGCGCAAGCGTCTGAGTCGGTGCATGACTTTGTGTAGGTTGTTGATGTTGCAGCCAACGCTCAAGGTCTGCTTGATCAATACCACCGTTCACTGGAAGCGCTTGCTGAGATTGTGGTCGTGAAGCCGGATTTTTGAGCAGATTCAGCAGGTCCTGGCTCTGAGAGCTGGTCGGCTGTGGTCTATGGCGCGGCTGTGCGAGCAAATCTTGAATATTGCGATCAGGCGAAGCCGCACCACGCAAGGGTGGCTCGAACCTGTTGTAATGATCGTTGGGACGGCCCGAGGATGGGCGCGGCTGCTGCTCGCGTAGCGCATTGAAGGGAATGCCGCTTGGGTCAGGCGACATTGCTGATTCTGGACCTTGTGGCCGAGAAATGTTCTGGTGACTGGGCGGTCGAGCTGGCAACCGTTGCTTCACGTACAGACCATTGTCCTCGGGAGGACTCCTTCTGGAGCCCTCTAATGAGCCGTCTCCCTGGAGAGGCGGACTGCCTGATTGTGTGGATTGCATGCGTTCAGGGTTCTTCTCTTGTGCAAACATGTCCGTGAAGCGGCTCTTGCGCCCTCCCGGCAAGGTACCACTCGAAGTCATGCTCTTTGGCGGAGGTGGAGGCGATGTAGGCACTGGCTCAGCATATGACGGTGCGAGGTCTCGTGCTGGCTCAGGCATAGGTGGGCCGTTGCTGACTTTAGTTCCACCGAGCATCGCCAATACGCGATTGAAGCCTTCCTGGTCTTCAGCCGTTTTGGAGCTTGCGCCATTCGTCGCTTGAGGTTGCGACTCCTCGGCCAGTGCAGGCGTAGGGATACTTTCTGCTTCTGGAGGCTTGAACATGGATGCAAATCGACTGGTCTTGCCTTTACCCAAAGGCTTGACTCCAGCCGACGCGGCTGCCATCAATGGTGCAGAGGCGCCAGGGGCTGTCGCCGACGTGACATTCTTGAAGCCACCAAAGAACCCGCCCTCGAACACGTCTAACTTCAGGCCGGGCTTGGGTTGCTCTGCTGCGGGCAAAGGAACAGGCTCGGAAGCCAGTACATGTTCAGCTTTCGGCTTGCCCGACATCTGCCTCTTCCACTCCTCGAAATCATCTTGTGTTCGCACAGTCAATCCTAGTTCCTGGTCCTTCTTCACGACTGGATCGTCCATCCACTCTGGTTCCCTCTCCTGGTGATCTCTGTCGCGGCGGGCTGCCTCTCGATCGCGCCAGCCACCACCTGCTGCTTTGTTTCCATTCGTTCTGTCATCTCTGCTCCAGCGCGGATCCTCCTTGTGACCATAGCCATTGCGGCGATCCGCCTCGTTGTCTCTATCCTGCCTAGTGAATGTCTTTTTGTCCTCTTCAAGCTCTCCTTGCAGTCTTCTATCGCGCACGCTGCTCCAGCGATCTTTGTTCTCGATGCCTTCCTTTTCCATTGCACTCTTGCGGTTGGACTGGCGGTCAGAGAAGAAACGACTGCGCATCGATTCCGGGTCATCGTGAGGCGTAGTATCGCCAGCATTCCTATCTTGCTGGTCAGCCGCCTTGGATAGTGTCCGACTGCTGGGAAACATGTTCCGTGGTGGTCCAAGTGAGACATCGTCTGCGCACCGATTAGCCCATGTTCCAACTCCATGCCATCACCTTATACATACCACCACTAGCATTCCTGAGCATACTCCCTCTCGAGGATAGAGTAGGACGACCAGTGCTGAATGCACCCATGGGACTGCCCTCAGCTGCCGCCGCTCCTGCGAGCCCGGCCCTTGGCTGTCTGCTCTTCCCAAGTGCGCCATCGTTGCTCTTATGGCGCTCGTGATTTGCGGCCTGGGGTTGTTCACTATGGGCGATCCTTAGCTTCTCCCTCTTGCCGTCTTGCTCAAGGTACACGTACTCTATCCACTGTTCTATGGCAGGAAGGTCGTCAGGCCTACTAACGAGAGTGCTGCGCGATAGAGCGAGGAGCTCGTCCCGAGTGTAGCGACGAACGGCCATCACAAGGAGGCTTGAGATCCCCGCTCAGGCGATGGACTGATAAGGACGAGCGTAGGCCCGCGAGCGCGCTCGACAGTCAGCGCGGGCTCGCCGATCCAAACCGCGTGTGTTTATTCCAGAATGCGGTGGCTACTTGGTGGGGGCTTGACAGAGTGTTGAACGTGTGGATGAGTTTGGTCAACCTCAAAGCGCGCGTGATACCTTATGGGGGGTGAGCCGATGGTGATGTTGGGCGACTTGGGGGGAAGGGCGGGGATCGCCTCGGCGACGGGCTCGATGGCGGCGCGCTGCAATTTCCAGTACCTCAGATAGACGTAGTTCGGCGATGAATGAGCGTCTGTGGTGTGCGTCGTGTTGCTCTTGCTGTTGGTTTTGAATGTTGCAGTGTGTGGGTGTGGGTGTGGGTGGTGGTTGTGTGCGAAGCTGTGAAAGTTGTCTTCGGGGCAGCAATTGTGGAGGCTGCTGATCCTGGACAGCCGCGCTAGAACTACCAAGTGGAACCAGGTGGAGTACTACTAGTAAGGTAGAGAACTAGGTAGAAGTACATGAACATACAGGTGAAGCGAAACGATGTTCCGTACAACTTGAAGGGCTTTAGGGACAGACTGCAATGCTGCCCTGTGGTTGTGTGAGGTTGTTGGTGCTGTTTTCGGGCTGGAGAAACCTCGTTCTGAGTGTACCAGGCTACCTCCTACAGGTACAGTGCAATGTCAGGTGTAACATGTACATTTGAGGGATGTCCTGATTCACGAACAGTGGACGTCATTTCCATCCGACCTCACTTGCAGCGGAAGATGCCGCCCTTTTCGCCTACCTCACACATGGCCGTCGATAGTCTGTCCACTCTCATCATTGGGGGTGGACAGTATCTCGATTGACCTCCCTGTCTTCCACTTCTGCACTTCTGTGGCATTAACGCTCGCGGAGCGCGGTATAGAGGTAGGCTGCAGTGCATCTGGGAGCCACGCGAGCGTGAACTTCTCGCCTTCAATTTATCTCCGCGGTCCTGCACACACCAAGCATATCTACATACAGATGATGGACAGCGGCAGCCAGATATGGTGAGTACCTATGCTCGTTGCCGGTTCTGCTATGTATGGCATCGACTGTGCAACTGCAGGCAGACTCATGGAACCAGAAGGAACCCTCTCGACAATAGAGAAGGCCACTCAGAGCATTCGATGCACGTCTATAGCACTCTGCGACGACTGCAAAAACCAAGAAATCAACAATAGGGATAGCGTGTGGCGGCAATAATCTTCAACCGCGAGAGAGAGGCTTCTATTGTACCTTAAGCGCGTCAATAGCCAAGCCACGCGTATGCGGATCGCGCTAAGCCGAATGCAGCGAAATGCAGACCTCCCAATTGTTTTTTGATGTGGATACCTTCCCAATTCTATTGTTACAACCACGACTATCCACCATGCTATTGCTCATTACCCCAGCTTTTTCGAAACACCATAGCAACAATAGAAGCACAATAGAAGCACAATCGGCCATGCGGGTACATCGCTATTGTATACCATCACAATAGCAAATTAGCGCGCTCTCGCAACTACATAACTTCCTCCTCTGCTGTCTTCTTTACTCTCTTCTTCTTCTTCTTCTTTCTCATAACCACTTCACGACACCTTTCCCCCCTCTCACCCTGCAACCACCACTCACCACCACTCACCACCACCACCATCATGTCTGGGGCCACGCCCCGCATCACGCGTTCGCGCGCCAACACCCCCCTCCCATCAATTTCCACGCGTCAATCGCACGCATACGGTGCCCGCGGCAAGGCAGCCGTCAGTGAGCAAGTCACGACGTCCACAGCAGAGATGGACGCTGCTTTCGCGTCCACGGCGCGTCCACGCGGCTCGGCGCGTCCGCGGGGCGCTGCAACTCCAGCAGCTGCCAAGAACAAGAAGGCGAAAGCAACGCCAGTCATCGAAGAGTACGAAGACGATGACGAAGACGAAGAAGAAGACGAAGACCTTTCGCGCCCTGGCACTGCAATCCAGTATTCCGCCGCCTACATCAACCCTCCGGCCATCGAGGGTGATTACCAGCCAGGGGCTTTTGTTCGCTTCCTCCTGCGCATCGTTCACCTGATCTCGCTCATCTACGGTCAAGGTTGGCAACTTGCCATCACCTCTGGCCTTACCTTCATGGCGTTCTGGTTCCTCTTTTGCATGGTTGTCTACTATTCTACCGCTGGCTGGGTCGCCACGCGAGATATCCCTACCATTGAGATGGCTCGAGCCTTTGGCGAATGCGCTTCGATGAAGCTGTTTTCCGACAATATCCAGCAACTGAACATGTCAGAGTATCAATGGGCCATCAACGCGCACCTTCTTGGTCGTGTCGAGAGTCTCGAGAATGATACGAGCATCCTTCAGCAGCATCTTGACATCCACAGGGCCATGATCGACGAGCTCCAGCAAATTCTCCCAAACACCATCGCCATGGCCGAAGAAGACGGCGAACTCGCCATTCCACCTCTCTTCTGGAAGGCACTAGCCAACAAGATGCAGAGCCCCGACGCATCTCCGCTCTGGCAGTATTTCCTCGACACCAACGCGCAGCAACTCCGTACATTGAGCAAAGAAGTATTCTCTGATAACTTTGAAGAAATGGTCAAGAGCAAGCGAGCAGTTTCTCAAGACGATTTCAACCTCATTCTCACCCAACACAGCGAGGCGGTCCATGAAGATCTCGAGCAGACTGTGCGCAAGTTCAAAATAAGCGTTCTCGAAGAAGCTAGAAACGTCGCAGTCGGCGTGCTTGAGAAATCAGAAATCATGTCGTTGGCTCGCATGCAGATCCAAGCACTTGGTCAGGCCAACTACATCCACAACATCGACAAGCGAATTCGTCAAGTCAACTACATTGGTCTCGGTCTCGGTGCAATGGTTGACCCTCACTACACCTCTGACACCAAAATGCCATCCACACAGACCTGGTCCCAATGGATGCTTCACCACGCCGGCCTCGCACGTCAATACCCCAATCCACCATCAGTGGCACTGATCGCCTGGGAGGATGCTACAGATGCGTGGTGCGCCGCACCATCTCAAGACGAGAAGGCACTCGCCCAACTCACCGTCAAGACCGCTCACAAAATCTTCCTCACCGAACTCACCATTGAACACATTCCATCCACAGGCACTCGCGACAGCGCTTCCGCACCCAAAGACTTTGAGATCTGGGTCCAAGTCGACAACGCCCGCGAAGCAAAACGCATCAACAAGGCCAACGAAGGCATGATCCAGTGGCACACGAGCACTGGCAGCGCATGCAAGGGCAAAGCGCCAAACGGCGAGAAGAATTGGGTGTGTCTGGCCGGCGAAAAGTACGACATTCACGAGCACAACTTTGTGCAAAACTTTCGTGTCTGGCCAGACACACAAGACCTCAACATTGCCACCAACAGGGTCGCAATCCGCGTCCTGAGCAACTGGGGCAATACCCAACACACATGTTTGTACCGCGTCCGCGCCACCGGCGTTGAGATTGCATGAAGGGCAGCAGAATGAAGAGAGACAGAGAGACCGAGAGCGAGAGATGAAGCATAGCGAGGCGGTTGTTTTTTTGTGTTTTCTGTTTTCTGTTTTCTGTTTTCTGTTTTCTGTTTTCTGTTTTTTGCTTTTTTGCTTTTTTACTTCTTGTTTTGTGCTTTTTTTGCTTCTTTGACAGACATTAGCGCATCTGAGATACCCCCAGAATTGGCGGCGAGCCAAAAACGCAAAAGCGATGCATACCTGTACCTAACATACCATGAGATGAGATGAATTGATTCAGATAACAATTACCAAAAACGAAAATTGAAAAAAAAAAGAAACTCTTTTCCAGTGATTTAATTCCTCGTGAATGATTGATTAGATTTGCGCTGTTGTTGGTGTCGTCGGTCAGATGTATGCATGTTTTAGCAGTCGTGAGCGAGTAACCGGAAGTAAAAGTGGAGACTCTCAGCAAAAGAACCTCAGGTACATGTAGAAAAGCAAACATCATTCATAAATGTAAACTTGTACATGGTATCATTTCATAAACGTCTACACACGACGCAAAATACAGTGTGAAAAGGTGGAGGGAGATCTTCATCTCATCCTCCTCCTCCTTTCCTCTTTTTCTAACAGGCTAAGGTACTCTCCCACCCACGCACCCGGATTTGCGGATGCAAAAAAAAAAAAGAAAAAAAAACGACATTCGCCTCATACAGCGGAAGCGGCTTCTCCCAAATCATGCATCAGCTGGATAAGGTTTTCCACCATGGCGGGTCGCTGCGGTCTGGTGGAGGGGTGCGGCGATGATCTCGAGTCGGGAGGCGCACTCGCTGGTGTGAGCGCTTCAATCACGGCGTCCATGACCCGCTTGGAGTCGTTGAGAGCAACAATGTCATTTAGTCGTAAGGCAGCTTCCGTCTCGGTCTTGCGGTCCATGGTCATCATGCTTGTTGGGCTTGCCTTGCTGTGGCCGACGAGCGTCGTGGGACCACGAGGGAAGGTCGAGTGTGCCGAGATGACGGCTCGACCTTTGTTGATGCTGATGAATTGGTGTCTCTCCATGGCAGGAAGCTCCTCGTCGTTGCCGTCGAGGTGTACTGGCGGACCGTCATAGTCAATGGCAGGGCCGAAACTGCTATGCAGCGCTCCGTGTTGGCCATCTTGCACATGGTATCCAGTGTTCTGTTGCTCGGTTGCAACAGACTTGGCAAGAAGTCCATAGACCCAGAATGCGAGGCCGGCGTGATACAGCGCGACAGCATTGAAGTCCCGCAGCCACGGGGTATCTGGTGTCGCAATGCTTGATGCATTTGGGCTGAGACCAGCCGGCCTTCGTGCGACTCTCAGCACCTGTCCTGCATGATACATGGCCCGACGGCATTCCGACGAACGGAACCACAGCTTGAGTGCCGGAAACACTCTTCGGGCCTCTTCGACTCCTTCCTTGCCAGCGAGCAGCTGCAAATCCTCGAATGCCACACATAAGTTCATGCGTAGTAGTTGTGAGATCATGTGGACTTCCTTGGGCACGAAGACGCGCCACTCTACAATGGCGGCGTGGAATGAATCCATGAGCTTGGTAATCTCCTGACACTTTGAAGCCGCTAAAGTAGTGCCTGCCCACTCCAGATGGGCCGAAGCTTGTGCGTTGTTGGCGGAGCTGAGCTGAGTATACTCCCAGGCCAAACACCAATGCGACATGAGGACCAGGTAGAGGGTGAGGTCGAGATCAATTTGATTTCTCACTGCGCCCATGATCTGAGCGTCACACATACTCGAGACAAACGTCGGTAACTGTGCTCCTGCCAGTCGATGTCGATAGTACTGGTCGCGCCATTCCTGGGCAGAGCGGGCCCGCCATAGTGACGCCGGCGCAGGAAGATCCAAGGTGATTTCCGAGTATGACAGCAGAGGTGGCGTCTGAAAGGCCACCGAGACCTGAACACTGTGGAGAAAGATGTGGTACGCCAGACGTTTGAATGATTCTGCTTCAATCCAGCTTCTCCATTTCCGATCCAATTGCTCCGACGTATCTGTTGGCAGAGGGATTTCCGCAGGTATTCGGGATCGTCGGAATCTTCCAGCTCTGCGAAGCATGGTGATGAGTGGCATGGCAGCACTTTCAGCCAGCTCCATGGTGCGCTTGTTCCCGGACCATGTACCAATGCCGAGCGAGATTGCGCAGGTCTGCAAAGCGGCAAGTCTGCGTGTATTGCTGGCGTCGGATTCCAACAACTCGTAATTCGCGCCACGTGCTTTGTCCTGTAGAGCATAGCCAAAGCGTTGCGCGTGGCTTGACCTGCCGAGAATGGCTCCCGCGGCGATCATCAGGGTAAGTGACTCCGGTATCGTCTCCGATGGCTTGAACGATGGGATGTGAATCCAGCTCCCGATACTGTGCTCCATGGCGAGGAGGAAGTCGTTGAGAAAAACATCGAGAACTCTGTCAACCGTCAGCTTGGCATCTCGTGTCGGGACTACTAGCGTGGCAACTCACCTCGTCGAAGGGAATAGAGCAAGGATCTTCTGGTAGTTCGATTTGTCGCAGCCTGCCAGTAGAAGGGCAACAATCTTGTCTCGCTCTTGTATTTTCATCGGCGGTATGATGTTCACCTGCCGTGGTCGTGGTAGCTTCCCTTCCGGGTCATGACTGTCGATCAAGACGGATGCCAGGCTCTGGTCCTGATTGCCCTTTTCATGATTCGGAATCCATCTCCATGCGGAACGATCGTACGCTGCAGCACCCAGGTTAATACTGTCATCTATCGATGGCGTGCTGACACCGGGAAGCGCCGAATTATCAGCAGGTAGATCGAATGCTGGTGGCATGAGTGAGGGGTCGAGCCAGCCACCCCAATCGCGCTTGAGGACGGTGTCCAGGTCGCTGAAGTCCATGCTGAGGTCCTGACTGAAATCCATGAGATCTCGAGGTTGAGAGTTCTGCGCCCAGTCGAGGTGGAAGGCTGCCTGTGGCTGCAGCTGAGCAGGAGTATCAGGGTGTACGACGGAAGAGAGGAAGTTGACCAGGGAAGGATCGTGGGTAGTGTGCAGGTTGTGTTTGGCATAAGGTATAGTCGGGGGCTGCATGGGTGCTCCTAACGCGTACGCTATGGTGGGAGCTGATGTCTGGGGTTGCGAATGCACTGTGGGTACAGAACACGTTTGTGGCTGGGTTGGTTGCGCCTGTCCTGGCGGTGAGGCCCACTGGCTGCTGGGCGACACACGATGTTCTGTTGAAGTCGAGGAAGATGAGGCACCGGAGTCGACCCGGCATTCGAGGCCTTTGGTCCGGCATCGCTTGCATGGCTTCTCTTGGTCACACTTGACCTTGATCGTTGCGCATGCTGAGCAGGCTTGAGAAGCTCGAATCTTGCGCTTCTTGCCGGACTGTTCTGTTGACGTGTGTAGCGTGGCGTGGCGTTTGAGCAGGTCCCTAGGCCCGTGTCAGCTTCAATATACTGCCACTGGCTTCTGGCGCTACAGCAGGTGGTGGCTTCCAGAGGAGTGACCAAGCCGGGAGACTCCTCTCGTCCAGGCATGGAAAACATGCAACATCAGGACAAGATGCTGTGGATGTCGGAGAAAGCACAGACAGTCAGGAGGCAAAGCACTTACGCGCGTGCAAATGTTTTGCCGCATTCCACACATTTGAACGGTTTTTCATTGGTATCTACACAGTGCTCATATTAGCTATGATCGAGGCCCGAGAGGGATGATGGACACACTGAGTGTGTGGGGGAGCTTACGGCTGCGAAAGTGGCGGGCGAGGTGGTCGATGCGGCCATAGGTCTTGTGGCAGATGTTGCAGACGAAGGGATTCGTCGCCGCAGTGGTGGGAAGAGTAGGATTTGATGCCCCCGGACTGGAACGTGTCGTCGACATGGTGGTGGTATTGTGGGAGTGATGGTAATGGTCACGTGGGCCCACGTCTGCCGCGCGACGGCCGTGCTTTTGTGTGGTCGCCTTCGCCTTCCGGGGCCAGGCCCGATGTCTTGTTCTGCCCGCCCGCCTCGCCTGAGAGCGGGAGTGGCAGTGTAGGTAAGGTACTTGCTTGGACTGGAGTAGTGAGGTATGGTATGTAGTGTCGACACCCCTTCAGCGGGGTCTGCGGTCAAAATCAACAACGACAACGACAACAACAACAACAACAGACAACGACAATCATCCGCCTCGACACCTGCCCGGCCCTAGAAGGGTTGATCGAGTATCGTGCCGGACCGGTTCTCAACTGGGGTGTGGGTATGCGTCATGGTCCATAATAATGTAACTGTAGTTCATTTGCAAGCGCGCACATTCGGATGTTCCTCGTCTCAGTCGTCGTCACGTTGTGCTGCTGCTGCCATTGATGGTCATGGACGGCGGTATATCGCGGGCCGTCCGGGAATGAGGAGAGAGACGCGGCGACGGCGACGGCGAAGTAGTCACTAGGTACCTGACTGTATACAATGGGGAGAAGTACATGTAAGGTAAGGTAAGGGATGGGATGGTCCGTTTGGACATTTTAGACGAGAAAGGGAACGCCCCATCCCCATCCATTGAAAAGACTTCTTCCAGGGCTCATCCTGTCTTCGGTCGGCCCGCTTTCCCCGGCAGAACTACTGTAGGACCTGTAGGTATACAGCCGTTCTCCCCAGAACCACAACCTTAGAGAGGTAGGACTGTAGGTACCAACCGACCGACGCGGTGGTAGATGTCCACTGTCCACGACAAAATTCTGCAGTAAGATCTGGTAAGGTATGTTGTGCATCAATCAGATGCGGCCAGATGTATACGCGTACGAAACAAGACCACGTAGACAAGACCGCATCTGGGCTGTCCTCCCCGAGTCGTTCAAACTAACTACATGTAACTAACTAACTAACTACTGTACCTCCTAGTTCTTCTACTGATAAGATAGATTTTTTTCAGCCATACCTCCTAGAGCCAGCCACATCTTCAGATCGACGCCGCCGCTGCTGCAATTCATCGGTCCGTGTAGGTCCACATGTGCCGAAAAGGTAGTTTTCTGATACCAACTTATTCTGTAGAACTGCTGCTGCTTGCGTGTGTACTAAAAAGGCGATAGGCAAGCGTACACCACGAGAAGTATAAAACCCCCCCACACCTGCTCCCTCGAGTTCTAGATTGATTCGAACGCCTCTAGATGCAACGCTACCTATCAAAGCAAAACGGCTGCAGGGACTGTACCCTACCGTAGAACTCCTGTAGGTTGAAGCAGAGATGTCCAAACCTTAGTAAAATAGTAAAAGTAATTACTAATAAGTAATTACTTTTTACTAATCCCTTGGTTACTTTTACTTTTACTTTTACTTTTACTTATGACCTCTAGGGATTAGTAATTAGTAAAAGTAAAAGTAAAATAGTAACAATGATTTTACTAATTTCGGCTTTACGTACCTATATATTTACAAGAAATAAGTAGTTTAGGAGGGATATATAGTAAGTAGAGGATATTATATATATATATAAGCTATCTATATAGCTCTAATAGGGGTTTTTATAAATAGCGGGAGGCTTTTTTCTAAATAGCGGGAGGCATTTTAGGGTTCGACCCTAATATACCTTAGGTATTACTCCTCCCTACTAACATTATATCAGAATTTCGAACGTATATACACTAACAACATATACCTACATACCTACCTACCTACCTATATACCTATATACCTATATATACGGTCGGCAGTATATAGTATAGCTTACTACCGATAGACAGATAGTAAGCTTACGGCTGCTATCGAAGAATCGTTAGAGCTAGTACACGTCGAGTACGACAATAACCAAGTACTATATTATAGCGGCTTTATAAACGGCCTTAACGCTATTATACTCGCTATTATAGTATAGTAGACAGATACGGAGCTTAAAGCGGCTATTAACTAGTACTACTACGAGCCTAAAGATAATAATAATAATACGACTAATATAAGAGCGCAAGCAATAGCGCGAGCGACAGCGCGAGCGACAGCGCTAGTAAGAAGACGCGTCTATCGCGAGTTATTCGGCGACGACGAGTTCTTTAACCTTAGTAGGTATAATAGCGAAACGATACTAGAGCTAGAGCTAGTATTAGCGCTAGTAATAGCGCTAGTAACAGCGGTCGACATATAATACGCCAACCGTCCCCTACTCGACGACGATAATAACGATCTAAATACTACTGCACTAATACGCCGAAAACCGAGACGCCTACCCTAGTATACGGACTTATATCCGAGCCAATTATAGAGCGAAGAAAGGCTATTAACAGTAGTAGGTAATATACGACAAGAGCCCGGAAATAGAAGAACTTAGGCAGGCTCTAAGTCTAAGTACTCTTTGTATAGCAGCGACTCTATAGATACCGAAGATAAGAACGCGGATTATAGCTAACGCTACGAGATCCCGAAGCCTCGCTACGAGCGCTTCCCCGACGAGGTATTAGTATACGTACAAATTGTCGCTTACGGTGCTCGTTACGGTATCGTATAGATACGGAATAGCGGTCGTAAGTACTTCTCCGGCACTTAGAAGGTAAGAAAGATCGCACTTAAATACGCTAGAGGAGACCGTACTAACAAACTCGTCGAGGAGCGTACTAGACGACTATTAAAGAAACGATACCGTACGTAGAAGATTAGCTATCGCGTAATAGCGACTATCGCTGCTATTAATAAGGACGATACCGAGAGTAAGTAGACTATTACTTACGGTTATACTACGAGGCATAACCATTTAAGCGTAGAATTAATCGGCCTCCCTTTCTATCGTCGACAATAGCGAGGTAGACGCTTTCGTAAGTTCCTCCGGATATGCCGCAAGACTAGTATATCGCTAGTATACATACGCGCGTTAGCTAAAGAGGAGTTTATCGTTAAAGAAGGCCTCTTAGGTATTGTAGCTACGCTAGTACTTCGAGATATCTATAACGAGTTTGCGAGGATCCGGTATAAGCTTATTATTAGCAAAACGCCGGTCGATTAAATAATAGCTATACTTAAGGATAAAGAGTTCTTCTACGCCTATAGGTACGACGACGGCCGCCTCTAGTGTGTCTTCTTCGTATACCTAGAGCTTATTCAGATATATAAGGACAACGCTAAAGTACTTATTTATAACTATACTTACTATATAGTTAAGTTAGACCTACTACTACTCTACCTTGACTTTGTTACTTGTATTAGCTCTATACTACTACTCGTATATATACTTATAGAAGATAAGACATATAAGAGCTATATATAGGCGTTTCAGCAACTTAAGCGCCTCTTCGAAGAATACGAGATTAATAACTATAACGTCCTTATCTACGATAGGGACCGTACAGCTATAAATACGCTCTAAGCTGTCTTTCTAGGTATACAGACTATACTATGTATATAGTATATAGATATAGCAGTCAAGGCCTACGTAGCGAAGACGTTCGGTTAGTAGAAGAATAAGGAGACTAATCGATTCGTACTAAGCGAGCTTGCTAACGAATTCCTCGCTTTATACCGCAAATATCGGTACGCAGAGTCTAAGCTTATCTTTAATAAGGCCTACGCTGCCCTCGACGAACGCGCCAAATACGGTAAGATATAGCGAGACGAGAGCGACGAATTCGATCTAATATAGCGTAACCCGGAGGTAGATAATAAGATTAATAAAGAGCTAGATATTATCGCGCGACCAATCGACAACTCTACTGTACAAACTAGTATTATAAAGGATACGCTAGAACGTTAGCAGAAGATCGTACGATATCTGCAGACTGCTTAGTAGGTATATAAAGAGAAGTATATAAAGGCTTAGACAAACGATATACGGTACTTTGGCTATAATACCTCTTCCGGCGGCGAGAGCGTATATAAAGGCCTAAAGGCATAGACAACTAGCTCGCGCAATAATACCCTAACGTTCTTTATAAAGCTCGCGCTATTCTACGACGGTTATCTAGACCGTAAAAAGGCTAAGCTTAGCTATACGCAGAATACAACCTTAATAGTATTCGTATATAAGGAGTACTACTATAAGATCAATACTATAGTAGATACTAGAGCGCTCTATTATATATAGAAGTAGAAATAGAAGCTAGAGTCTAAGCAAGAGAGCGTACGAACTAACAGACACTACGAACGTCCTTATTGTAGTAGTGTATTTATACGTACTATAGGTATAGACTGCTCTTACTAGCTCGAAGGTAAGGAGTTCCTTATAACTGAATTATTCGACGAGTTTTGGATTATTCTAGGCACTTATAATATAGCCGGTACATTGCGGCTACTAGAACCTACTACAAAGCTATAGAAGCGAGTAGTACGTCTTGTCCGCTCGTATACAGCTAGTATAGGCAGTTTATTAAACGTACGAGATCTAACTAGTACTAAGCGTAATAACCCTAATAACAGAGCTATACTAACTAGTAAGGACGAGGAAGACAGCGCTACTTAGCTCGCGCGCCGTAATAGTAACCCTTAGGTACCTATCTAATAGTAGCTAAATCGCTGTACTATTGCGTCTCGGAGGTATTACTAATATAGTACCGGCTATATTTACGGTAAGTATATATATCTAAAGAGTAAGATACTATATAACTCGTACTATAGGCATAAGGTACCTTATAGAGGCTATAAGAATTAGTATAGTACTGCTACTTCTCGACTAACGACAGTACTACTAGTACTACTTATACGAGCGCTACTACTTATATAAGCGATACCGAGCGATCGAGCGATACCGAGCGATTCGATATACGCTACTAATCTAGTAGCTAGCCTTGCCGATTTCTAAGCTCAATTTACGGCTCTATAGGCTTAGATAAGTACAATAGCTTAACAGTTAACGCAGCTGCTAGCAATAGTAGAGCCGACGCGCGCGCGCGGACGCGGAAGACTACGAGGTAGAACGATAGCGGCGCGCGGACAAGGAGGTAGAGCGATAACAGCGGCGCGCGGACAACGAGGTAGAGCGACGGCAGGGGCGCGCGGATAAGGAGGTAGAGCGACGACGGCGGCGCGCGGACAACGAGGTAGAGAGCCGACGCGCGCGCGCGGACGCGGAAGACTACGAGGTAGAACGATAGCGGCGCGCGGACGCGGAAGGCTATAAGGTAGAACGATAGCGGCGCGCGGACAAGGTAATAGAACGACGAGGAAGCGACAAGTAGATAAGATAGCAAATAACAGTAATAAATTCGAGTTAGACGGCGAGGATAATAATAATAATAATAATAATAAGGAGAGTAATAATAGCCCTAGCGAATTCGAGGTAGACGGCGAGGACGATAATAATAGTATAGAGCTAGTAATACCTTTACGTTCGTACTAACGTATTAGCAGCGTACGATTCAGGCTACTATCGGGTCGATAGACGCGACGACGACGCGATAGTAGCAATACGAGATACGCGCCAAACTAGCTAATAGTAAGGCAGAGATATACTCTCGATTATAGTAGGTAATATAGCCGAAGACAGCGGCAATCGCGTTTTTAGCTCTTAACTAAGAATTCAGTTAAGAACTAAGAATTCAGTTAAGAATTTAGCTCTAGTCGACGACAATACAATATACAGCCTTCTAATAAATATGCCCTTTTAGGATAGTATTGCTGCCGTCGTTCTAATACTCCGCTATACTAAGTCTATGTTCGTGTTGTCGCCGTCGCTGTCGCTATTGCTGTCGCGACATATAAATATAGGAAATTCTTAGTAAGGAGTAATGCCTAAGGCATATTAGGGTCGAACCCTAACCGGCCTCCCGCTATTTAGAAAAAAGCCTCCCGCCATTTATAAAAACCCTCTAATAGCCTTAATAGAATTATATTTATATAAATCCTCTCTAGAAAATAAGGATAGAGTAGAGGAACTAGTAGTACTAGTAGTATATATATATTATAGCTTCTATATAAATAAATAAACTTCCTTCTTTATACTATACTATAGTCGGTTATTCTAGTAGACTAAGATATATAGCTATCTTCCCCTTTACTATTACTATCGTTATTACTATTATTACTATTACTCTCTCTGTCTATATTACTTTCGTAATTACTATTACTATCTACGCTACTAGAACTACTATCTATTAGCGTTGCATCTACTTTATCTAGATCTATCTCTTTACTATAATTAACTTCTATTGCTCGTTCTTTGCCTTTTCTTAAAGTAGTCCTAGTATCCTTAATATCTATAGGATCGGTAATAGAGTCTTGATTATCGTCTAGAATTAGATAGTAGTATAAGTATAAATATAAATAATATGAAGAAGTATAGAAACTATAGTATACTATAGTATACTATACTATACTATACTATACTATACTATACTATACTATACTATACTATACTATACTATACTATACTATACTATACTATACTATACTATACTATACTATACTATACTATACTATACTATACTATACTATACTATACTATACTATACTATACTATACTATACTATACTATACTATACTATACTATACTATACTATACTATACTATACTATACTATACTATACTACTTACGTTACTAATTAGTAAATGTATTTACTAATTAGTATTACTTTTTACTTTTACTTTTACTTTTACTTACGACCTTCTGTTAGTAATTAGTATTAGTAACGTATTTTACTTA